TAGCGACAGGTGGGCGAATTTATTTATTTTTAATATTTTGACATTGACACTCGAGCGAGAGGTCGGTGACAAGCTAGCGATAACAAGTGATGCTTCTGTTCGAAAAGTTGTTAGGTTTGGTATGCAAACACTTGACCACATCCCATTATCTTCTATAAATAAGACCATTTGAACATCCATAATACATCCTATATCACTTTTGTAACGAACATTACATCAAAATCTCTTGCGGAACTTCTTCATAGTCATTCAAAGCCTTCCTTTTAGAAGGGGAAAACTCTGTTCAATGTTCGTTGTTGCTTGTGGTTTGAAGTGCTTTTGCCACAAGTTGAAAATGTTGTATCTTGAGAGACAAGTGCCATTATCCATTAGCATCGTTGCAAGACAATTTTGTCTTAAGGAGAGAGTGACTTTCACTTGCCTTGGATTTTTTCTCTTCTTGTAATTTCTTTTAGGGTTCATATACCATAAATATATCCATATATTGTTGTGTTTAATCACGCACATGCAGATTAAACTTTGATATTTCATCCATTATATAATAACCCTTCCATCTCCATACTTTTTGAACAACAGGATTAGCCGGTGACAGGGAAGATGGTACGAGGGAGGCCAATGCAATGAGGAAGAAGGACGATTTTTGGGCCAGGTTAGGGTTTGTATGTAATGGGTTATGCTTTTGGATTTGGTGTTTGGGTTGCATAATATGGATTGTTGGCTTTTATATTAATAGTTTAGTGTTTCAGGCCTGATTGGGCTTCATTTATTAAGTGGTAGCTGTTGGGGGTTGTTTTGGGCCATGAGAATTGTTATTGGGCTATTGGGTACCGGGCAGTAGGTCGGCTTTATTTTGTTGAGCTAATATGGTTGCAAAACAGTGAAATTAATGGATCTGAATGTGGGTTTGGTGGATGAGGTTTTGGAGTTTTGGGTTAGGGCTTGTTTAAGTTTAATAATGAGATTGAAGGTGTGGCAAACAAAAATTGCTCAGTTATATAGGGAATTTTGGGCTTGTTATTTTGGACGCTCTATTAAAATAAAAATTGTTTTTGGTTAAGGAAAAGAGAGACATGGGAGTGCAAACCATTGAGTCTTAGTTGCTTGGATGATGAGCTAGAGTTTTGGATTCTTAAAGGAGGATCATCTTTGGATTTTTTTATACACACTGTTCTGTGAAAATTTTTTCAAATGCAGCATTTTGGTCAGCGATATATTGCTAAAATATTGGCCGGTGCATTAGCCATTAGAATTTTTGTTAGAACACGAATTATGTGTTCGATTAAGTTCCTCCAAATGATAGACTCATTGTGTGTGGTCAACACACTTTGTGAATTTCTTTTGAAAATATTTCTTGGAGTATGAGCTCTCTAGAGCGGTTTTAGAGTATCCTTTAGAGTAGTTTTGGAGTAATTCTTAGCTATTTTTGCACTATTTGTTTGTGGTCTCTCATCGTCACTATTTTTCGTAGATGGTTGTTGTAATCTAAATCTTTTCTTCGTGAGCACGAGCACTGTCACCATCATCATCTCATGATTACAAATCGATGCTTTTGCCCACATCAATTTGAAAGGAGATGTCAGCTGAATATAAGAAAAGCTCATATATAAGGAAATGTACCATATTTAATAATAAATAAATATAATTGATAGCTACCATATTTAGTTATAATTTTGGTTTTACATAATGAGAGAACTTCTCGAAATGCAGGCATCGAATCTTATTAAAAATCATTGAATATATTTGACATATATGATGCTAGATATCAAGCAAAGATGTGAAACAATTTTTCGTACAAAATCTTAACAACCTCAAGTGCAAATTCTAAAATTTTAAATCAACTTAAAACAGTTAAATGTGAAGAAATTACATAACACTCAGAAAAACAAATTACAGAAGATAAACACGACAGTATTTATATACAATTAACTGTTTGATGCATAACTCAGACCTCCAGATAGTTTCCCTGTTTCAGTTTCTTTGACATTCTGCACTCTTATTAATTTTGCATCTCAGGATCATCATCATCATCATCATCATCAGAATCGATCCCGACCCATTTAATGAATGCAAATAGAAATTCCCTGAAGCTTATTTTTCCATTTCTGTCCAAGTCCATTTCTTCTGCACATTCAACAGTACCATAAGCCAAGGTCAGTAGGGCTCATTATAAACAAAACTCCGCAATAAACTTCCTAAAATTGTAGCAGGCAAAGACGGTAACTAAAGGTCTATCTTAAAAGAAGCATGTAGAGTTAATAACTAAATCGATCCCTTGTGATGTAGGAAGGAGATTTCTCCCGAGGAGAAGCCTCGTTTAATGCCTTGACAACGTCTTTCTTTTTCAGCTTTCCTTCACCATTTTTGTCAAGAAACAAGAATACTTCAATTATTGTATTAAAGGTGGCATCAATTTGTGGCAATTCCATCTTCAATGTCTGTAAAAATTTGGTTGTAATAAATAAGCCTGCAGATTACAAGTCAAAATATATTTCCCAAGACAAAAAGAGTAAATAACTTGAAAATAAGAATATCGTTGCGTATACTGTGCTAAACGAGGATGAACAATCCTTGAGGAGATAAATGAGACAAAGAAGAACAATGAACTCATTGAATTGTATCCCTTCGTTTTCATTCATGTCGCAGTAATAGAAAAGATCATCGATATCTTCCTCTCTGACATGAAACTGTAACTTCTGCAAGCATTTCTTCAGTTCTTCGTGGTCAACAGTTCCATTTGAATCTTCGTCTGTGTAAGGAAAATGAAAGAATGACAGAGAACTAATTGTAAGCTTATCATAATGCTTCAAAAAAAAAATAATAATAATAAAAATAAATAAAAAATAAAAATTCTTTCCCTGTAGCCCCAGCTCACCAAACTTTTCGAATACACCTCTGATCACTTTCAGTCCATCTCTGATCTGAGGAAATTTCAGGATTATGCTATCAATTGATCTGAATCTGTTATTCCCTAAAGAATTTCTCTTTATCTCCATCATTTTCCTTTCAAGCTCAGTATCTAATCTCTTATAAATGTTTGGCAAACTATGGCAGCAGAATAAGACTCCTACTTTATTGGAAAACGACTTCAGAATAGGGCATAGCTCAGATGTACCTTAACAGTAAAATGAATTTGTGTTAGTATTAGCTTATAGAGAATTCATATTCAACATGTTCGACCAGCTACATTGCTGTTAACATTAGAGAACTTTATTACTTAATGTTGATCACAGCTGATGTTCGTAGTAATAAGATGATAATGTTGTTGTCATGAAAATAATGTTTTAAGAATTGTGAAACCTTAGCATGTCCAGGTGAATTCATGCCACATCTAACATGAGTTCATGGGGGAAAAAAGTCACTGAGAGCAGAACAAAAGAAATGGACATATTAACATTATCAAAATGATGATATAATCACGAATCAGTACAATTCAATTTGTCTATACCATTTTGAATAAACGGCAAGCAATGAAGAGTATTTTAAAATGCAGCCTTCATTTATATTTGATGAGAGAAACTTATCAGCAAAATACTTATGACAGGATCCAACATTATCCCTTGTTTGATACAGATTCTTTTAAACTCATTTTTCCCCAAATTCTTTCTAACCACACATTCTCTCAATAAAATAATTTTGCACATGAACCTTAACTTGTCCCTACTTTTTAACCAGACGTTCTCAAAAAAAGAAATCAGGCCTAAATACAAATTCAATTCATATTTTTTTACTAGGAAAAATCAGCTTGTCATCCAGTTTAAAATCCAACTTAGGATTAGTAACGAGCAAAAGTCAACCCTGAATGCCGCTTACTCGCTCCGATGCAAGTATACATAAGTCGAAATATAGGAGGTAGACAAGTAAATAATGAAAGGATTGGGATAAAAGGAACACATCATGCTAATGAAAAATTGTGAAAGTTTCTCCTTTAACCTCTTGTTGAACTTGATTTCAGAACTGCATAATTTCCTATAACATTAGACAGATCAAGCACGCATTCATCAATCGAATAGAGTTCTTGTCATACCATTGGCATATTAAAAACTGATAGATTCAAAACTTTGAATGTCGTCAACCTAACATCTCAACTACCATTATATTCAAAAGAAATTTCTAATAAGTTCTAACTAGAACATTGAAAATTCCAAAACAAAAGATTAGTACATCTTCAATCCAATGGTTCAACTCAATAAAAGAAATATGAAAGATTAGAAAAATGATTTCAGAATCCAATAAAGAATAGCCAGGAAACTAATGGAATTGTGAGCTAAAGATTCCTAATTTAATTTTTGATTCACATTTTACAATCTGCAAGATTTAATTGGATTCTGAAATCAGGCGATCCTTCACCGACAATTTAATCTTTTAGCTGAGTTGGTTAACAGGTCAACGGGTTGACACCACCCATTTATAAAAATTGCCTACATCAAATATTTGATTAAAAAATGAATATAGTGCGCACGTGAGGGACACGTTTACGTCTACATGATTAATGTCTCCATTGTATAAAAATGAAATGAAATTTCACAGGAGAATTGTACACAGGAAGCTATTACCATTCGATTTCTTCTAATACCCAAGAATACAAGAAAAAACCCATCAAATATTGAATATCTGTTTTTCAGAAAGAGAAGAGGGGGGGGGGGGGGGGGGGGGAGGGAGAGAGAGAGAGAGAAGAGAGGACTTACCTTGTGAATCTTTCATGGCTTGGTGTGTGAGAGACCTGAAAAAAGTTGGCTTTTTGGTTCAATATATACAAGAGAGACGAGGAAAAGATAAGAAAAAAGAGGGAATTGGGTACTGGAAAAGTAAAGTAGAATTGCTGAAAATGCTATAATGGTTTTGAATCCAAGTCTCTCTTTCTCTTCCAAGTGGAAATGCCATAATGGCTTTGACTACAAGCATACTTTCACACATACAGTTCACACTGAAAATCAGGGCAAAATACTCATTGCTAACCTTTCCCAAACTTTAAATTGATTTTAAGCTTCTATTTGAACTTTCAAATTTGATTTCCACCCATCAAAGATTCAGACTTAACCTCCGTTTGGCCCCTATTAAATTTTATTCCATTACATTCCATTTTCTCTCTCCTATTTTCAACTACACAATTTTTTATAAAATAATATTACACATAAATCAAAAAAAAAATTCCTTCTTTCTCAACCATTCATTTTTAAAAAAAAAATATTATTTCACCCATTTTCATTTTCAAAAAAATGAGGATCAAACGGAGGCTTAAAATCCCACTGACCCCTACATCGATGTGGCAAACGAGAGAAGACCGTTAAAAAATTGATTATTTTTATCGAAAAATAATTATTCAACAAGAATATCTTTTTCAAGGCACCTTATTTACGAACTTGTGGAAGTCAATTGTATGTAATACAAGGTCGTTGTTTGAAAGTGATTATTCACTCCACGCTCATTATAAATCATGCATTCTAAAACAATTTAAAGTTCAGAGATATATAGAAACATTGGTGGAAGTTCAGGGATAGATAGAGTATTTTACTAAAACCTAAAGATTCGGCCAAGTAATCTGGCCAATAGGCGTGTTTGAACAAATTGCCTTCTTTTCTCATTTTTCACCCAACTTCAAACTCGACTTGAATAAAATGCCCTTTTATCTCCAATCCTTGAAAAATTAATTTAGCCCAGTTTGATTGTCATATTTGTCAGAAATAAAGTTTTGAATAGTAAATTTTTTAAGAATATGTGGTAAAAAATGTAGGAATTTTTTTATTGATAAAACCTAAAGATTCGGCCAAGTAATCTGGCCAATAGGCGTGTTTGAACAATTGCCTTCTTTTCTCATTTTTCACCCAACTCCAAACTCGACTTGAATAAAATGCCCTTTTATCTCCAATCCTTGAAAAATTAATTTAGCCCAGTCTGATTGTCATATTTGTCAGAAATAAAGTTTTGAATAGTAAATTTTTTAAGAATATGTGGTAAAAAATGTAGGAATTTTTTTATTTTATTTTACGTGTATAATATTTTATTGTGTGAATGTATAATTGAAAATTATTATGAAAAAAATGAATTTTGAAATAAATTCCATCAAAGATAACAAGACTAATCGGTCTTTCCTGAGGTCCAAAAGGCAAGATCTTGAAAAGGCTAGCATAATACTCGATAGCTATTAAGTTGCTTTTAAGCTCAGTCAAATATGCTTACTCATCTGTGTTCGTCTCCACATATTTGACTGCTGAATCAACCTTATGTCAGTCAATTTTGTAGAAAATCACTTGTGTTTTCATCTATGAGATGAACACGCGTTCTGGGAATTGCTTATTGATGTCTGTAATCCATCGTTAACATCAGAATTTACAAATTGATGAATACATGGGATTGATTGAATCTGTTTGAAGAATGCACAAACCACTGATCTGAAAGAGAAACAGTAAAGAAAATGGAACTAAATCCATTCTTGGAACGAAATTATCCTGCGGGACTCATCCAATATTTGACATCGTCCACTCCACCGACCTTGTACTGTTGTCGAAAAGGACCATGTTCTCGTTACTAAACATATGTTGTTGTCTTTTCTTCAGTGCAGTGCCGTTTGAACCAGAAATAGCAGGAGAGACTGGACTTCCCTTCGACATCAAACAACTGTCATTCGAGCAGTCTACTAGTCTAGCAGGCACATTGGAAGAATTTTTTCTCTCCATAAATGTGGAAACCTCGGGTACAGGAGGATCTGCTACCATCATGCCATGATAGTCATTAGAAATTTTGATTGCCAGTTGCAAGAGTTCTTCCCCAGCAGCTTCTAACCCAGCAGAGGCCACAGTATGATTTTCAAGAGCTTTACAAGCTTTCTCAAGGATCGACTGAAGATACTTGGTTTGCGCTTCAATTCGGAGCTGGAGACGATTCTGAACCTGGTTTGCTCCGAAGTTGAAACAAGAAACTCTTTGTTGTCACAATTTGGTAATGATCTTAGAAAATAAGTGGAACAAAAAAATTTAAGAATGCTGATGCCATAAGCTTTGAGCAATTTAAGAATGAGGATTCCAATTGCCCTAAATTTCAATCTAGTTTTCATCATCTTGGGGAAGGTAATCGCCATGAATAGTTCATTTTGATCTGATTAAGAATAGGTTTTATTGGCTTTCCCTTAAGTAGGATGCTGCTAAAAAAATTTCTTAGTTTCAGTTAAACAAATAAAACATTGGGTTTTACATCATTTACCTATTCCACATGAATCATAGGGCAGACTTCAGATTAGATTTCGAGATAGATTTACCAAAAGAGAGAGAATCCTAACCTCGAGCTGCTCGTGCAGTTTTCTTTGAACTTCCATCTGAACTCGCAAAGCCTCAGTAACCTGGTACCCACTGGTAACAATATGAAAAACCAAATAAATTAATATGGTCAAAACATGTGTGTTGGTTAAGAAATCGCGTACAAAGAGATGTACTCGTTTATATCTTGGGCCATCATTCTTGATGAAGCTGACATAGATGAACCCGTATCCTGATTTTCAGCAACGCAAGATGCTGCATATAAATTAAAATCAAAACGAATAAATGAGAACAGAAAATGGTTACGATGCTTCATCAACACAGTCGATAAAAGCCTACAAACCATAGATTCAATGAACCTACTTTCTGGATAAGCATATTTAATTCTTATATTTACTAATTAAACAAGGAAAAATGATGAACCTTATGCATATGCAGGGAATGTGAAAAAAGTTTAGTACACAGAGAGTTTTATTGAAGAGTGAATACCTTCTTTCGAGTAGTCAGTTACCTCCTTGTTTGCTTGTTTGCCCAAACGGTACTTCTGAAATATTAAATACAGAGTACTTACACTTTGTAAGCCATATTTTCGAGGATCAGACAGAAAAGAAGTGCTCATTGTTTCTATCTTTACAGGGAATTTGATTGGATTAATAAGGAGGGACGGATGACAGGTAGCATACCTGAAGATGCGACTTCAGGTGATACAAAGTCAAGCCTTTTACTCCCATTGTTCTCATAATTGTCTTTGGTGTTGCTTCTGCAATGCAAATCAGTAAAGAACATTAAATTAGCTCATTAATCCAAAAAAATAAGTGAAAAATAGCTATTGGAACCTCCAAAGATTGCTCATGGACAATAAATGATCTTTTTCCTAGGTTGAACTCTTCCAGACTAGCCTGGAGGGAATACCAGGGAAGCATTGGCTAATGAAAGTTGGACAGTACTCCACATATTTCAACATTACTTGGATAAATAAAATATTACGCGCTATTTCTGAAAATTGGGAAAATGTCAGGACTTCGATGAAAATGAATCTGGCTTAGACGTGAGGCACATGTTGACGAAATTTACTTCAATAATTTACTTCCCCACAAAGAGCTTAAAGTTTTAGATGAGATAGTTCGACACCTGTAAGTTGTTATAAGCACAAAAAGAACTTACCTGCATAGTTTTTGAGCATATAAGCTCTTACTGAGTATTAGCAATGACCATGCGCAACTACTTAATCTGGCAGTAAAGAACAGAGTTTGGCAGACGTTGCAAGATCCATAAGATCTAGGGACATGGGCAAATCTATAGTCTGCTGCCCCGCACCCAATTTGAAATCCAAGATTTTGTAATAGATTTTTCAAAATTTTACGCAAAATTTATGCAGTTCGTCTCTGGCAGTTTTTGGTTTCGGCAATAATAAAATTAAGTCCTTGTGTTGTGCACCATTTTTTTCAAAACTCATTTTCAATAAAATAAGTTTACACGTAAATCGAAAAAAATTTCTTACTTTTTAACTACTTATTTTTCAAAAACTCACTGTTCAAAAATACATTCTCTCTTTAAAACGGGGTTCAAACAAGGGCCAAGTTACTAAGTTATTGTGTTAATCTTGGTCAAAACTGGTGGATTTTGCAATTCGTGATGACTAATCAGGTCGAAATTACTTCCGACAGCGAGGCCTTTACCCAAAAAGTTGGTTAACAGAAATATTAAAAAACAGATTTAAAAATACATGTAACTTAATTGCACGGAAAAGTCAATTCCAATTAAAACAACTTTATAGCACAAGGTACAACATCAAACAAACGTGTTCTGTTTACTTCATCTCCCCGTCAAAACCCACAAATTCTTTGAAATTGATACTCCTTTTTGAAACTGAATTCCAAAAAGAAATTCAAGAATAGGAGTTTTATTGAAAAAAGATTCAATTTTTAAGTAAAAATATATATTCAAACAGTTCACATCTTCTTGTAAATTTCATACTGAGTCAGTATTTCCAGTCCCAAGAAATCATATACTGCTTCAAAACATCATTTCAAATTGAAGCTCCATAGCCCAAAAAAAGTCAACCAACACATTCAGCATGAAAGAGATGAATAGGAAGCATGGGCATATACTCATCGACTAGAACTCATCCTTTCATCCTTAAAACCGACAAGTAAGAAGATGGTTTCCAGAGTAATTATAAACCCTTCCGACCGATGTGGGACCAATTAGATTCTTACATACATTATGCCCTCCATTTGGAAACAATTTTTTACTCCAAAAAATTAATTTTTTGATCATTATTTCACTATTCGAATCGTTATTTTTTATTTTTACACTCACGGGTGGAATCCATAATCACAACCGAACAGATCCTACATGTGTATAATTGATCCCCACGATAAAAAAATTTCACGGCATGAGAAAACGTAATTGAGGTAAGAAGTTTTTATCCAACCAGCTGGAGCAGGAGATCTGGACTGCATATATATTTGGGGGGGGGGGGGGGGGGGGGGGAGAGAGAGCAAAAGGGAATAGGGACTAACTATCAGGGCCACCAAGCTGAGCGACAGCATCTTCAAATCTTTCATGGAGCTCGGCAGTCCAGCGGAGTCGGGGCTTGGGATCCGTGGTAAGAACAAGGCAGGCGTCACCGGCCAAGTTGGTGCCATCTAAGGGAACTTGGTATTCTCCTCCACTCCCATCTAATGGAAAAGAGTGCATTGACATTGAAGAATACATTTTTCGACAAACTGATCACCGCAAAGAATGAATTTTTCTTTGTAGGGTGTGAATGAAGATGAACTGAGCCTAAAGGGCCAGGAAAGTGGGGGTAGAGGATCAGTTTACGTGGTTAAGAATGGTGTTTTGGAGCAAATGATATGAGAGATAAAGGACGGGCTGAGTGTGCTGTTTGTGTAAGAACAGAAGAGGACAGCGATGTCTTTTGTGCGTCTGTCTTTGTCTCTCTTTCTGTATTTATAGCTATTAGAGACTCTTTTCGGTAAATTACACTGTCGGTTAGAACTTTTTTATGAGTTGGTTAAATGGCTCTATGACACTAACATAATGTTTGATCGATTAAAAGGCGTCAAATTGAAATGATGATGATGATGATGATGATGATGATGATGATGATGATGATGATGATCAAAGTTGTAACTTTAAACTTCGTTTAAAATTTTAAATTGAAAAAGAAGTTGTGTTGATGAAACGGATCCCTTTGCATCAAGTCATCACGGGCATCACTAAAGTATTATTTGAAGGATCATGTCATTTGTACACCGACGTTGACACCGCACAACAAGGGGGGCCCACAATTTTTTTATTCGTCATGAGTCCCCCTTGATGTGAGGGGTTGGTACACCGAGGTGTCAAGTATCAAAATCCTTATTTGAAATAATTTTTGTTTTTTGAATGTAAAGATTTAAAGGGGAAGTTATGAAAAAGTCTTGAAAAAAAAATAAAAATAATAATTGATTGGTTTTTGAATGGACGACTAAAATTATAAGGAAAAAAAGTGTTCAAATTATCACATTCAAATAAGAGGTCATAATAAAGAAGGTAGATTTAGGTTCAATTATTTTAAGAGACTGTGATTTTATCTTAAACTACAAAATAAAGAAGATAGATTTTTGGAAAAAAAAAAGGGAAGAGAGTCATTGGAAAACTTAAGTAATTATTTATTGATAAAATGCTCCATTCAAAATTAATTCATAAAATATAATTACAACAATTGAGTTAATTTAGTCACTGTTGGAATCACGGAAGATTATCTAAATTGATTCGTTTCTATTTTGTTGGTTGATATTGATATTCTTCGATGTTGGGAAATGAAGTAGGCAGGAGGAGAAAGGTATCACATTAGTATTACCATTTTTTATGCCATTCCTAAATTCAGTTTAAACTTTGAAAGTTGGGGCTTGTATTGTCTTGTCATGTGTATTTAATTTTAATTTAATTTTTTTTTATACCCAAGTGTCTGCCTTACAGCGACTAATTCTGGGACCTACGATTCAACCTCTCTTTACACAGATCAGGTAAATCGCGTGTTGTGCCCCAAACTTCCAAGAGCCCTCCCAACTGAACTGCCAAAGTGTCGAGCAAGTCAAACCTATATATGCGCCTTGTCTTCCAGGAAATATCATGCCTTCTAGGAGAAAGCCTGCTTTCCAAGAGCCCCATGAATCGAACCCGCGACCTCTGAACTGTCCGCTTTGAAGAACTTCGTTCTTTGTCAGTTGGGATGTGCCCCGAGGGGCAATTTTTATATTGTTAAAATTTGACAAAGTGAAATGTCCCACAAATAATCATGGCAAGAAAATGGTTTTTGAATATTCTTAATTATAGTTTATTATTTTTATAAACTAAATCGACATGATGAACATACTCTTTTTTGGTAAAACTAAACGGATAATTCTCACTTAACTTGAACATTTCAATTTTTAGTTAACTCATGAGGGACGACTATGTTGGATACGATAATGTCGCGGTTGATGATTAAAGAAAGACTCGTCCCATGCATCTACCTGCTCGGAATTGTCTCACATTTTCGCTAGTCAAGATTTATGATGAAATTTTCCTCACAAAATTGATAGCTAGCAAATAACATCCGAAGAAGGCAATTTTCTAAACAAGTGCCTAGTCAAATAGTGAATATTGTTACACCCTCACTAACCCACATCGGCACATCATGCCCACTCCTCAGCGAGGTGCTACTTGTCCAGCCGAAGTTGTTCCGAAGTTATCTGAGACTATTTCGAAGTGATATGAGCCTCGCCCAAACCTCAAGCTAACCTGCTACAAGGCACAAGCATCACCAAAATAATTGCCAAGGCGTCCCTCCTTATCGAAGTGTGAGGAGTGTCGAGGCACTATGCAACAGAGGCCTCTTCGTCGCCAGTTTCAGAGACGTATCTTTGTGTCCGAATCCTCTTTTATCTTCATGGATTGATTAATGTGATATCTCAATTTTATGTCAACTTACAACTCAAAAGAATTAATAATCAGCCCCCTCTAGATACGACTGATTGATTCCTACGAGCAGATGCTTCACACCGTCAGATGCATACACGTGTCCCACATCCAAAGGTGCCTCTCACCTATGAATAACAAAGATATGGCAAGAGATAAGAGTAATGAAACTCTCTAAAATACTTGGCATTCTACACACAAGTATAATATATATTATCTTCCCTACTCTTTTGCACAATTTCGATACCGTTCCAATTATCGTCCACTGACTTGATTGCCGAAGTCTATGCGGCCACCGCCACCCCCGCTCATTCCGACCGTATGCATCTAACCGTTTGCTATTGTACATAAGGAGGAACATGTGCAGTAACTCTCAATTTGTCACGTGAAAAGCCCAATTCGCAAGGCCAACAAATACAATTCAAAATGGCAACCTATAGTGAAGTATTCGAAATGTAAAACCATTCGTTGTATGGTTGCAATGTAATTTTTATTTTATTTATTTATTTATTTATTTTTCTTGTGACAACACAAACTCAACACTCATGACATGTGCTTTGATTCTATACATAACAATTTAAAAAGGGTTCAATCATTTATTTTGCATAAATTTGCTCGAACATAATAAAAGGTATAATTTTAAACTTTGACCTTGACTTATTTCAAGCGAGAATTTTAAATGATTTCTTCGAGTTTGTAGCTTAAAATATATAAGAAGTCTGCAACAGGTACATAATTTTTTGTACATAATGGGTGCCTCCACTCACATGGTGGGGGGCCCACATGAATATTTATATTCATGTGGGCCCCCCACAATGTGAGTGGAGGCATCCATTATGTACCAAAAATTATGTACTACAAGCATTATTCAATATATAAACTAAATGCAACTATACTCAAAATAATTAGTTAATTTTACTAAAAAACCCTGAAAGTGCGTTTAGTTGCTAATATTTTCATGAGAAATGTCATCTTTCAACCAAATTTCTACTTTTATACTGTTTAATTGATATTTTTTCATGAAAAATATTTTCTCACTTTTGGTTATTTGACCATAATTTCCTTGAAAATAAAAAAAAAAAAATATATATATATATATATATATACACACACATTTTTTTTAGGGTAAGTAGATTTTTATTTTCCAGATAAGTCACTCTCTCGCATCTACTACATCTCTCTTCCATCTACCTAACAATAAAAATTGATTAGTATAACATTTTTTATGTTAAAAATAAAATCAATCAAACATATTTAATTGAAAATTTTCATGCAAATAATTCTAGGCAATTAAATTGTCTATAATTTATTTTCTTTTCCATAAAAATTCTATACTTACAATCAAATACATCCTTAATATAAAAGAAAGAAAATTTGTCTAAAGAATATAGAGGAATATGTAGTGATAACAAGAAGTCTTCCAAAATTCCAAATATATGATGAAAACCCACTTTTAGTGGAAGTCGAGAATGAAAGGATTTCAATCTTTTACTACTTTTTTATCCAATTTTTGTCACATCTAAACCACCTAACTTGAAAATCTGAGGTTGTAGCCAACCCTCTTAGTTCCCTATACTATCCAAATAAAACTCATTTCGATAACTTCTTATTTATTTATTATTATTATTATTATATTTTTTTTTTGTGTGAATAGTTTTACTCCCCAATCTAACATGTAATTTGTGGTTAGATTGTAGAGTAAAACTTATTTGTCATGATGAAAATTCACACACTTGTTGTAGTTCGCTAATTTCCTAAATCTCAACTGGTCATAATGGACGTTTTATTTTTTAAAATGTATTAACTTGACAGAAAAATGTGGATCATGTTAAGTGCTATAGTAGGTGACACTGACCACTCAAACTGTACTATGCCTCTAAAAATATCAATGAATGATGATGAAAGATTCATAAATTATTATGAATTAACTAAGTTTTATAAAATAAGTTTTAATTAAAATTTCATAAATTGACAATTATTAATAATAATTTACAACTTCAATCATATTATCATTAGTGCTTTCAACATCCCAAGACTTTTGGACCACACCTTCCATAATTTATAATTGTGGACTATAATAATTGAAGTCAACTTGTGACATCTTCCAAACAAATAAAGGCCAAAGTAATCCCCATCGTCTAAACCTAAACTAGTATGATAGCAAATATTAGAAAAATTATATTTGTACACCGAAAAGTGTACCAAATTATTTACTCCCTTTCACATGTATGTAGGACCCACATAAATAAATAAATCAGAATGTGGTCCCCCACCTCATACTGTGAGTAGTCGGTAAAAAATTATATAAAAAAATCAGTATATGTAGCATAGTTCCAAATATTACGAGAATTAAAAGACGTCATACTCACTTTTCTTCTTTCTTTCTTTCTTTCTTCATTTTTCATTTTTTTGGGAAATTAATGTACCTTGTAGGGCCCTTTGATGTATATCTTTACGTCTAATTTATATAAATTAGACAAATAAGTGTTGATAAGTAAAATTCATTTGGATTTCCTATTCGAGAGCTTTAAAGATTCATTTTTATGTAAGATAAGTATTATAATTCCTTTAAGATGAAGAGTACATATAATATGAGTTCCGCAAGAACAAATAATTTTTTAAATTAATTTTTTTGAAAGAACTTAAAAAGTTTTAAGTTGTTTGATTAAGTGCATATAAGATCATTTGTTCATTATTCTAAGAATAATCATATAATATATGCAACGATGCGGATATGTGTTGCATCTTTGAAATTCGAACTCAAGATGTAATGACTCAAATATGTGCTCAAGCCATGAGTGAAAAATATTGTTTGCTTTGAAAGAATCTATGTTCATCTTGTCCATCACGACTTTCTTTCACGTCCTCATAATTCAAACTTAAGACATCTGTCTTATGAGAAACTTTATTCCTACCATGCTCCATTTGTTTGGTATCCTATCATTTTTAATAAAATCGTCACTA